TTTTTTTTTTTTTTTTTTAGTTTCCTGAGCTTAATTGTTCTCTAGTGTTGTTGAAGTATTACCAGCTCCCGTGTTATGTGGGATGCACGCGGACAAAACTCTAAACAGATGGAACACTGCACATGTCTTACTCACGGTAAGGTAGTTTCTGGCGTTTTAGGAACGAATGTTACATGAAAGTAATGTTCGTTAATTCAGGAGACACGTTCGTTAACTCAGGAAACGTCACTGCAGCATCAGGTAGTTCCTGTATAACCTCAGATTCCACAACCTGATAACGAGAACGTAAAACACAGTAGCTGAAACTTAATTAATATACACCGTACTAGACATAAATATGTGTAATTACATAAATTAAAAAGTTAGCCAATCATATGGAAAATGACGTAATCGTGTCACAAAGAAACTTAAGATTCAAATTATTAGACACAGTTCTAACAAACACATATAAGAACTAAAGTGCATACACAGTACACATAGATATACACATTATTATATATGCACACAATATTATGTGTATATATATATACACACACACTATTTTATATATCCATAATGTGTGTTTATTGATGTATTACACACATACGTGTATAAATATCTTGATATACAATTATCTTATTGTTATGAAAACTTGCCTTACCAACACTTGCTTCAATTACACAATAAATATAGCAGAGAGTCGTAGTGAATGTAACATGTTTAGGTTACTATCCTCAGTGTAAAAAGTCTACTGATGTCTACATACCATCATGATTGTGAAGCGACTACTGCTATATACATACCAACCTAAATGTAGAACGTCTACTGCTATATACATACCAACCTAAATGTAGAACGTCTACTGGTATATACGTACCAACCTGAATGTAGAACGTCTACTGCTATATACATACCAACCTAAATGTAGTACGTCTACTGCTATATACATACCAACCTGAATGTAGAACGTCTACTGATATATAAATACCAACCTAAATGTAGTACGTCTCCTGCTATATACATACCAACCTGAATGTAGAACGTCTACTGATATATAAATACCAACCTAAATGTAGAACGTCTACTGATGTATACATACCAATCTAAATGTAGAACGTTTACTGGTATATACATACCAACCTAAATGTAGAACGTCTACTGGTATATACATACCAACCTGAATGTAGAACGTTTACTGATGTCTAAATACCAACCTGAATGTAGAACGTCTACTGATGTCTACATATCAACCTAAATGTAGAACGACTACTGGTATATGCATACCTACCTGAATGTAGAACGTCTACTAGTATATACATACCAACCTAAATGTAGAACGTCTACTGATGTCTACATACCATCATGATTGGGAAGCGATTACTGGTATATACATACCAACCTAAATGTAGAACGTCTACTGCTATATACATACCAACCTAAATTTAGAACGTCTACTGGTATATACATACCAACCTGAATGTAGAACGTTTACTGATGTCTAAATACCAACCTGAATGTAGAACGTCTGCTGATGTCTACATACCAACCTGAATGTATAACGTCTGCTGATGTCTACATACTAACCTGAATATAGAACGTCTACTGATGTCTACATACCAACCTGAATGTATAACGCCTACTGATGTCTACATACCAACCTGTATGTAGAACGTCTACTGATGTCTACATGCCAACTTGAATGTAGAACGTCTACTGATATATACATGCCAACCTAAATGTAGAACGTCTACTGCTATATACATACCAACCTGAATGTAGATCGTCTGCTGGTATATACATACCAACCTAAATGTAGAACGTCTACATACCATCATGATTGTGAAGCGACTACTACTATATACATACCAACCTAAATGTAGAACGGTCTACATACCATCATGATTGTGAAGCGACTACTGGTATATACATACCAACCTAAATGTAAAACGTCTACTGATATATACATGCCAACCTAAATGTAGAACGTCTACTGGTATATACATACCAACCTACATGTAGAACGTCTACTGATATATACATGCCAACCTAAATGTAGAACGTCTACTGATATATACATACCAACCTGTATGTAGAACGTCTACTGATGTCTACATGCGAACTTGAATGTAGAACGTCTACTGATGTCTACATACCAACCTAAAGGTAGAACATCTACTGGTATATGCATACCTACCTG